AAGGAAAAAAAAAAAAAGCCCCCCCCCCGTCTATGAACTGTGCAGAAGGCTCTTGCTTTTGGGTTGTTGGGGGTTTTTTTTGTGTCTGTGAAATTTTGTCCTTCTCCACTTAATTTTTCCAAGAGGAGGGGAAATCACTTGCTGGTAAATACAAGGAAACCAATCCGGCAGTGGATTTGCCATCATTAGGGCTTGGGATAAGCCTTGGCTCCCACAGAGTGTTTATTTCTAGTGATTAAATAAGAGGATAATCATTGTATAAAGTAGTAACAAAAACCCGAACCTTGGGCTTTTCTCCTTGGGCTGACAAGCATAATTTGGGAAAGGGCAAGTCTGAACAAGTGAGGGATAGGCATTAGGATATAAAGTGAGAGGCCTTTACCGGTGCTGCAAGACACTTCTTTCAGTAGTAGTTGTAATCTGTTAAAAGGCTGCTTATCCTAATGTAAATTAATGGTGAAATTTACATTTATTACTGAATTACATATGCACTCTTTCAGAAACCTGAGTTGGAAGTAGCTGTGAAATGCATTAACAAGAAGAACCTTGCAAAATCTCAAACTCTGCTGGGCAAGGAAATAAAAATACTTAAGGTAAAAGTAGACCGACTTGTTTTCTTCAGTCTTTGTTTTCTATGTCTTTTGTTGCTCCTAGCTTATGGTCTTTGTTTTATTTTTTCTAGGAATTGAAACATGAAAACATCGTTGCCTTGTATGACTTCCAGGTAAATACATTCAATTATGGCAAAGCATTCTGGATTTGGGAGAGATTGAATGGTGGTGTTTGAATTTCAGTTTTTAACAGTTGTTTCTAATCAAACATCTGTATTCTGGGGCAGGGAAAAAAGGTCTTCTGGTAAGTTTGGGAGAGAGAAACAAACATGACTGAGCAGATCATGTGTTAATTGTTGTCTGGACCACAGAACTCTTACGCAGGTCGGAGTTGAGGTGGGACCTCCTGCTCTCAGGATGTTAAGCAGTGAAATACAGTGTGTGGTGAATATGTCTGTGCTGGAAGCTTTTAAGTTCTCAAAATGTTAGAAATAAAATTGCAGTTGTTATTCTTGGCATGCCTACCTTTTATTTTCTTTCTCTAAGAAAATTTCTGTTTCCTAAGCAGTGTAAAAATAGTGTGAGCATGACTTTGTAGCATATGATTGTCTTCAGTTCCAGAGGATTTTCATTTGCATTTTTCTGTTGTCCTTATGGCAATCACTAAGTGTTAAAAATTGCAGCAGACATTTTTAGATTATTGTGGTTTCCCGCAGTTGCTTTTTCCTTCAAAGTCAGCTCTGAAGATCTAATCTAAGGGGCTAAAACTGATCTGCTCCGAAACCAAAGTTATCCAAAGACTTTTTTTTTTCTCTGACTTTTTAGTTAAAAAAAATCCTGCTGGGTCATGGGGCAAGTTTTCTCTGACATTTGTGATGCTTTTTCGGGGGGGGGGAACCAAACCAAAACCACCACAGGATCTAAAAGCATAAAATGGAACCCTTCCGGTCCTGGGCAGAGGGGCCGGCGCGCGGTGCGTCCGTCCAGCCCGTGCCACCAAAGGCTGGATGTCTGCGAGCGATGGCTTCGTGGCCGCTGGCTCCGCCGGACCCCCCGGCTGGCCCTGGGGCGCCTTATCTGGCGGTGCCTGCCCTGCGCCTGCTATCACGCGTCCCGCAGGCCCCGTGTTTGTTGACATTCCTCCTCCTCCCGTGGATTGGCTCGGGTGGCCTGCACGTCACCCCAGCAGGAGGGCCAGCCGGTCGGCACAGCCTCTTTGCGATGCCTTCTGGGCGCTGTAGTCTGCCCGCGTCACCCCGGCCCCGGGGCTGTGTCACCCGCCGTGTACCCCTCTGCCGGGGCGGGGGGTTGTGGTGAGGTGCTGCGGGGGGTCAGGTCCTCGGAAAGCGTTTAATGCCTGGTGGTGGTTTGGCGAGAGGCGGACACGGCGGATTTCGGGCCGCTCTGGGAGGCAGGCAGGCAGGGCTGCTGGGAACGGGATTGCTTCTTGGAAGTATCCTCTGGGTAAGAGACCAGCGGTGCGTTGCTCCTGAACCACCTTTTAGAGCTGGTCTTGCGGAGCAGTGACTGCCTTTGGCCTGATCTGTGCTGCAGAGTAGTGCAGAGAGCTGGGGAAGTTTCCTCGGGGCCACTTGGGATGTTAGATCGTGTGTGTTTTCATCCTCCTCTGTACCTTCTGAGTTTACTTAATAATAATTTCTCAGCTGAGGGAGCGAGTGGCTGGTCCTGCTATTCCCCTATAGTTTGCATTTGTATGAAGCATTATGCTCTTGGATTTGCTTATTGCAGATCTTTCAAAACCTTTGTTCATGTTCTGTTCCTCACCCTGCTTCAAATAACTGCTGGGTAGGAAGCAGCTGAAAGACATTTCCTGCAAAAGGAGTGATTTCATCACTCTTACGACTGCAGCAATGCATTTTTCTCCTTATGTGATGGCAAATGAGCTTTAGTTAAATTCTGCATATAGCAATGTAGCCTGGTGAGATATTAGCAAGAAGCTGCGTAAGATACCCCAAAACAGGAACTTGAGAGTGGTCCGGGGCTCAAGGCATGCCCAGGTATGTGTTTAGTTACCAGCTTTGTCAGAGAGTCCTTGTATGACCTGGGTAATTTGATTTCTTAAGCAAAATGAGATGACTTAGGTGGCATTGGGGCATTAGAGTGCTACCAGAGTGTGGAGTCTCCTCTGATGTAAGGTGGTTGCTCATCGGACACAGCCTGATGTGGTCCATCCGCCTCGGTTGTGTGTGCAATGTGTCCGAGTGTTTGGCCTTGCTCTGTGTCTGCTTAGGAGTTGTATGACAGTAAATGATTTGCAAAGGTAAAAGTACAGTTCTGTGGAAGGCTGACTGCTGCCCACCTTTCCTTACTTTGTGGAAAAGGCTATTTATTACTCACCTTGTTCCTCTGATACAAGATCGGCTGCTTCATTCATAGCTGCACGTATATTTACCCTCGAAAATGTCGTAGTTGCATTTAATTGAGCTCTTTTAGGCTTTCTAAAACTGAAGAGGCTTATTCTTGTAAAAGGAAAAAATATTTCCTGTGAATCTTAATGTTGCTCTGTAGCTTTGCCTATGGTTGCATTTTATGTTGTCCCTTCCTCTGCACCTCCTGTCAACAGTGACTTTAACTTTTACTCGCGTGTTCCTTACACACAAGGAAATGGTTGCCAAAACCACAGTGGCTGTAAGCAAGTGATTACACCCAATGATGCTTTCGTTTGCATTTTCCTGGTTAAAAGCTAATGCTAACCAGGCCTCATGCAACTCAAGATTTTTGATGTAATGCCAGATTTGCCCGACAGACACTTGCAGTGCTCATATTTAATACTGACAGCAGCTCTCACCCTGGCCCACTTATTTTATCCTTCAAATCCCTGAGAATTGCTGTGTTCCTCCTTGTTTAATAGATCTTTGTGATATTGGTTCATAAATAATGGCAAAATAAGAAGCTTCCTAGGAATAAATGATACTAGTCAATGTTTAATGCATGAAAGTGCAGTCTCTGGACTTTTAATAGATCCCTTCACTGGAGTCCTAAGAGCAGCATCATTACATGAAAATGGCTCACAAAATGAAATATGCATATTCCCATTATTATGTGCTCACGTATTAATGAGAGGTGCTGTGAATAGTGTAGGAGCCTAATGCGAGAACCCCTGCTCAAAAAGATGATGTATTGTATTGCGTTTCTAAAAGTGCTGTCTATTTTGTGTCTGTATGGAGTTGTGCAAATCTTTCCTAGGCACAGGAGATGTTTGGCATAAAGTAAAAACTGTATTCCTCCATATGTGGAGTGCATTAGCTGCTACTGGGTAATTCCTGACTGCTCAGCTGGCTTGCAGGGGGGTGGGAGTTGGGCTCTCCAGACTGCAGCAGTGGAGAGGAGTGGAGCAGTCTAGAGGGACATCTGGATACCAGAAATCTTTTTACTCTGTTTGAAGACTGCCAAATGAGCTCTTGTTCCTTAAGGTGGAAATTAGTGACAACAAGGATACAAATGATGGTTTCAGCCGGATGAGGTCTTGGTCTGGAAATGAGGTTTCTTAGAAAACGAATTTCCAAAACTCTGAGGATCAGCCCGACTCATCACACATACTGACACTGACAGCTTAGCAGCATGTGGTCTGGGGTATGGGACTTGCTTTGGTTTCTTTTGTGACTGGGGGCACTGAATCTGAAGCTGTGATCAGAGATCACTTGAATGGCTAAGGGGATTCAATGGTAGGAAGGTAATTCTTGAACTTGTGAGATCCTAGGAGCACTGTGTGTGAGACGACTTCTTCCAGCACTAGTAAGAAGCAGGTTCTTGTGTGTAACTAAGATCTTTGGGGCAGTGGGAGGTTCTGGGTATGTTTTCTTCCCTGTGCTGTGTGTGCCAGCTGCCCCAGGAAGATTCCATTGAATACATTTCAACTGAAGATCTCACTTGTGGCTGTGTTGGTGCTGGGGCAGAAAATCTGCTATTCCTGGACATAAATCATGCTTTGGATATTAGAAAGCATTTTCCTGCATGAAATAGGAAGAAGGATTATTTTACCGGCACATTTTCCCTAGTTGTGTGCTGTGATCTGAGTTTGCTGCTTAAAGCAGCCTAGCTGTGACTCTGCCTGTGTGGGTATCGGGTGGTTTTTGTGTTTCTCATTTTCGCACGGGTGGGATGGACTGGTTGTAGAAACCTAACTGCTAACATCGTGCAGGGCACTGTGCTGCTGAGTTTCTGATTCAGCCTAGATTACCTGAGGGTCTGCTTTCTATAACTTTTGTGTCGGGTTCGCTCATTGTACTCACCAGCTCGGGATGAGCTGAGAGTAATGCTTAACTTGCTCGTGCAGTACAGACTCACCAAAAATATTTCTGCTGGGATGACTACCACCAGGAGCTCCTGGAGACAAAGAACACAGAGTCCTGGCAGTGCAGTTTTTCTTGTACATATGGATTAAGGCATGGGTGGCAGAACAAACACTTCTCAGCTTAATAATCAGTCACTCTGGGCTGCTCTTGAGAGCAGAGTAATAACAGGCTTGTTCTATTGTTGCTGTGTAGATAGCCTTTGTGATCAATAGGATGATGGCTGTTGGGCTGTGATGTTCTCTTGTGCTGTCTGCACCGTCATTCTCTTCTGACGCGGAGCCTCTAGCTGCTAGTCCACATCTTGCCTACATGCCCCCCGCTGTCCTCTGGGACCTCTGGAGCTCTGTGTATGGCAGTGTCCTTTGGTGTGCCCTCCAGCACCGCTCGCTTCCACTGCAGCGCTTTGCTGATGAGTGTGATGTCGGATGAGTCGGTGTTGCTGCAGTGTCACCTCCTTGCCTCGCCACCCCTCATTGCCACCTAACGCAGGATCTTCTGTTCCTCGGGCACTGCTGTTCGGGTGCCTCGTCTTGGGAGACAGGGCTCCACCGTGACACTTGGAATGACTAAGGAGGCACTCTGTGTCTGGGAGATCACACTCCTGAGGTCAGGCTGCCTGCCTGGTTAAATCCTGTTTTAATTCCATCCCTGAGTGAAGCTGGCAAGTTGCCTGATGAGTGGGTGTAAAGTGCAGGCTTCTCTGAAGTGCCAAGCAATCCTCTTTCTGTTTGCGCTGTGGACAAGAATGGGGTGTCTGCTATCCTGCTCTGTCAGCATCCTCGCATCTGTCGAAGGGAATCACTCAGTTACTGAAGATTGGATCTGTTTTAATTTAGAGCTAGAGGGGGAAAAGGGTG